TTTTTTGGGGGGCGGTCTTTCTCTGTCGCCCAGGCTGGGGTGCAGGAGTACAGTGGCGAAATCTCAGCTCACTGCAACCTCCACCTTCCCAGTTCAAGCGATTCTTGTGCCTCAGCCTCCCAAGTAGCTGAGATTACAGGGATGTGCCACAATGCCCAGCTAATTGTCGTATTTTTAGTAGAGACAGGGTTTCGCCATGTGGATCAGTCTGGTTTTGAACTGTTGGTTTCGAGTGATCCGCCTGCCTTGACCTCCCAAAGTGCTGGGATTACAGGCATGAGCCACCACGTCCCTCCTTTCGTTCTTAATAATGCTTTGACTTAATATCCTTTGATATAATACTACAAAAGCTATAAGATTATATCATCTATCTTTTAACTTTCAGTCTTTCTATATGTTTTTGTTTATGATGTGTCACTGTAATAGATAGGTGGAATTTTAGAAATCCAATTGATATTTTCTCTCAAGCGGTATTATTACCCTGTAAACATTTTAATTTCTCAACATGGGATTTCCTGGGTCATTCAGGTAGCATGAATGAAACCCAAACTTCTGTGAGTCAGGCGGATAACAGCTGACTGAATAGAGTTTGAAAGAGACGATATTGACAAAGGTGAGGAGTTGGGAAATCTATGAGGAAGAGGGAAGCGCCCAAAACTAGGAACACTTAGAGAGCCATCACCTCTTCTGGGCCTCAAGTGGCAGGTGTAGGAGGGGGCTGTAACTATAAGAGAGTGTACCCAAAGGCAGAGGAATGTAGACCCTCCAAATCATAGCCAATGGTGAGGGACTGGGGTACTGAGTGCTCCCAGGCTGCGTCTTTGTGTCATGTGGTCTCCTTTGGTGCTTCCCATTGGCTGAACCAAGCAGAAGCCAGAGGGCAGAAAGTGACCACAGGGGTCAGCCTTCCTGGGCACAGAGCAAGACAGAAAGGTGAGGGAATAATTTGGGAGAACAGACAGCATCCAGCACAGGAAGTGTTTCTGAGTACTTGAATTCCTTTATTGTCATAGACCAGCTGATCAGTGTTTAAGCCAGTAGCGCAGTGGCTTCTTAACTTTCTGGTTAGAACATCCTATTACCATTATTTATTTTTAAAACTGTATACTGTGCAGTATCTCACTTTAAGTTATCAGATTTTTTTCTGTCTTGTTTGATTCTAGTCTGATATTTTTCATGTATATTGTGTTGTCATCTCATGCTAATCTCTATGGAACATTATATGAGGGGAAGGAGAAGAGCTTATAATTAAAAGTCATGGACCTAGGCATGTGTCACGAGACCTGGGTCTTCCAATAACAAGCTAAGACATTAGCTGAGTCATTTTCCTTCCCTGGTTCTCAATGTTGGTGGTTATTCAGCAGAGAAGGGAAAAGCTATCTTTATGCTCAACTGTTTCATGATTCCTGGAAGTCTTGCATGGGAGAAGAACTTTGGACAGGATGGTAACCATATTAAGTGGTTAGTTCTGTACCTTGACATCCCTGAATAACTAAGACAAAGATGATGTTGATGATATTATTATCACTACCACTTATTAGGTGCTTGCCATGTATCAGGAATTTTACCATGCATTAAGTAAACATGACATATTCAAACCTGTCTATGTTCTTTGCAACAAATATGATAATTTCCACTTTATAGTTAACAAAACTGAGGCTCAGAGAGTTAAATGACTCGCCTAAGCTCACATGGTTTATAAGAAACAATATTTGGGTTTGAACACAGGCTAGTTTTATTGAAAGTAACTTGTGGCTGGGCACAGTGGCTCACACCTGTGTAATCCCAGCACTTTGGGATGCCAAAGTGGGTGGATCACCTGAGGTCAAGAGTTCAAGACCAGCCTGGCCAACATGGCGAAACCCCATCTCTACTAAAAATATAAAAATTAGCCAGTTGTGGTGGTGTGCGCCTGTAGTCTCAACTACTCAGAAGACTGAGGCGGGAGAATTGCCTGAACCCGGGAGGCGGAGGTTGCAGTAAGCAGAGATAGTGTAAGACTCCGTCTCAGGAAAAAAAATAAATAAATAAAATACAATAACTTATGTTATTTGCACCAACAAGAGTGTTTTTTTGTTTGTTTCTGCAGTCAATGTGACTCTGGATCCAGATACAGCTCATCATGAACTAATTCTGTCTGAAGATCGGAGACAAGTGACTCGAGGATACCTCCAGCAGAATCAGGACATTTCTGCCCGGAGATTTAGTGCCTTGCCCTGTGTCTTGGGTTGTGAAGGCTTCACCCTAGGAAGATGCTACTTTGAAGTGGATGTTGGAGAAGGAACCGGGTGGGATTTAGGAGTTTGTATGGAAAATGTGCAGAGGGGCACTGGCATGAAGCAAGAGCCTCAGTTTGGATTCTGGACCCTCAGGCTGTGCAAAAAGAATGGTTATGTAGCACTTACCTCTCCGCCAACTTCCCTTCATCTGCATGAGCAGCCCCTGGTTGTGGGAGTTTTTTTGGACTGTGAGGCCGGAGTTGTATCCTTTTACAATGGGACTACTGGCTGCCACATCTTCACCTTCCCAAAGGCTTCCTTCTCTGATATTCTCCGGCCCTATTTCCAGGTTTACCATTATTCTCCTTTGTTTCTCCCTCCCCTAGAGGATTAAGGAAAAAAGCAGAGGCTCTTTCATTTAACTAGCCCAAAGAAAATAATATAAATCACATAAGGGCAGAAATTTGGTCTGTTTTCTTCACTGCCATTTCCTTAGTACTCAGAATAGTGCTGGGATTTTAGTGGATATATAATTAATTTATGCTGAATAAATGGACTTAGAAACTAAAAATAACACAGTTGGTTGACCTGCACTGGAGGAAAGCAAGGTAATGGTAATGATCGTACATTGCTCTGCCTGTCTTTAATGGATCAGGGCTTTGATTTCCAAGGTCTTCACGTGATGAGTGAGGGGACCCACAAGTCAGAATGTCTGTATTCTCCTAGTTTGTTTGCTACCATTTGAACTCAGTGATGAAAGAAAGCTGCAATTGTCTGCCAGCTGCATTAAAACAAAAAGGTGGAAAATCAAAATAGTATTGACACTTGCAACCACTAACAGGTTGTTTAATAATCTGAGCAGCAGTTCTGGAGGCTACCAGACTTACAGAGATCTGCTTGAGAAACAGCCAAGCAAAGTGTGAAAGAAGGGTTAAGACTAGCTTACAATGAGATGCTTCAAATGAGCAGGGAATTATGAGTAAAATCAAACTTTGGTAGGGTATTCAATTTGGGAAAAGAAGTTGGTATTTTTCAGTCTGCTAGGACCAGTTACCTTGAAATATTTTTAAATCTAAGTAAATAGTTATTTTTGAAATGGTTGTTAGCAGTCCTATGATTCAGAGAAAATCAAATAGACTTAACTTCATTTTGAAAAAGACCAAATTACCGTACCTGAGTGGGTAATGACAGGATTACAACTAAAACATAAACAACATTAATGATGACCATAAAAAGTCACAAAATTGCTAAATGTTATAATTTAGAGTTGATATAAAAATTGATGGCCGGGTGCAGTGGCTCATGCCTGTAATCTCAGCACTTCAGGAGGCTGAGGCAGGCAGATCACTTGAGGTCAGGAGTTTGAAACCAGCCTGGCCAACATAGTGAAATCCCTGTCTCTACTAAAAATACAGAAATTTAACCGGTCATGGTGGCAGGTGCCTGTAATCCGAGCTACTTCGGAGACTGAGGCAGGAGAATTGCTTGAGCCTGAGAGGTGGCAGTTGCAGTAAGCCAAAATTATGCTCTCTGGAAAAAAGAAAAAAAAAATATTGATGTTTACTGATGTTTGTTGAGGTCCTCTGACATCATCTCTGAGAATATGAGAAATGAAGCAAGAGTCATGTCTAGATGTTAGAGGTATGGTTGGGCCTCCACCTCTGCCTAAGGGAAAACATAAAAGAGACCAGACTATTGCTCATGCTCCCCAAAGTTGGTAGTTCTAATTATGTTGATAGAGGCTGGGTTGTAACTAGCAAGTGAAGGGTAGCATTCAGAATATGCCACTTTTGGCATAAGAAATATTTTGAGCTAAAGACAATTAAGAAAAAAATAGATAAAAAAAGAAAAACTACCTCTGCCTTCTCCCTATTTGCCTAAAAGCAAGATAAAAATTTATCCTGGGAAGAACAAAAGTTAATCATCAGAGACTTTAGACTCCTATCAGCCTAGAGATAGCACCAGAGAAATCTTATTTAAAAAAAAAAAAAAAAAGTTGCCTTTCCACAATTTACTGTGCTAGAAACTCAAAGTCCTTTTCCTTGTCACTTAAAAAATGTATTCTTTCATTAATGCTATATAAACCCAGTGTTGTGCAATGCATGTGTTAATAAACTTCTCTTTGTTTCTTTCTTGTCAATCTGTCTTTTGTTAGTCTAGCTTATAGGGCCACAGATGGAGAACCTCAGATGAGTAGAGAAAAAAGATTTTTCTCCCCAACAGAAGGATTATTTCCCATGTTATTTGTTCGTTATCCCCATAGTTTGAGTATGCTGACCCAGACCTGGGAAATGGGACCCAGTGGATAACCAAGGAACCCCACCTTTGTTTAGGATCAGTGAAGATGTAATCTGGATATTCCTAAGCTCTTCTCTACCTCTTGGCTTCCCACAGTCCTGTGTTAACCAAGTGTGGTCTTCCCCAAAAAGGAGAGGCCTCCCTAACATTGGCAAAGCCTAGCATATGCTGCTCAGAGGAAATTCTATATCCCTAAGCAGTTAGGTTGCTGAATAAGAAAGAATAATAACAAATTAAACATTTAATTAAATGTTTTAAAAAATGAATAAACCTTTGTAACCCATAAGGATGTCCAGAATAAAGATAAAATTGGAGATTAATTGGGGTGCAGAAAGTTATGGAAAGAATGTAAATCTTGCTAGTCCCTGTAAGGGAAAATGCTATTAAATTAGATAAATCATTAGCTATTCTAATGATTAAAGAATACAGAAAAAAGTAGGAACAAAATAATATATACTGGAATAATGATTTTAAGAGTAATTTGAAGAATTGGATGCAAATAAATTTGAAAACCTTGATGAAAATAACTTTTTAAAAAGAAACAAATGGCCTAACTGACCCAAGAAGGGAAAGAAAATCTAAACAGACTGATATATACAAAATGAAATTCAGAAACTTACAGAGTGGCCAGGCATGGTGGCTCACACCTGTAATCCTGGCACTTTGGGAGGCTGAGATCATTTGGGAGGATCATTTGAGGCTAGGAGTTTGAGACAAGCCTGGGCAACATAGTGAGATTCCTATCTCTGAAAAAAAAAAAAAAAATAGCTGGGCATGGTGAGATGTGCCTTAGTTTCAGCTACTCGGGGGGCTGAGGCAAGAGGATTGCTTGAGCCTAGGAGATCAAGGCTGCAGTGAGGCATGGTCATGCCAGTGGTCTCCAGCCTAAGTGACAGAGCAAGACCTTGTCTCAAAAAAGCAAAAAAAGTTACAGAGCTCCAAATAAATAACGTGGGGGAAAAAATAGTTGGTTTTATGGCTAATTTTTTTTTTAAGGAAAAGCAATTCATGTACCATTGAAGATTATATTAAGTTCTATGCAATAGCCCAAAATGACAGTGGCTGAAACAAGTTGATTTCTCTCCCATGTAAAGCAAGTCTAGATGTGGAAGTCTGGGAAACCCAGAAAATCCAGGTCTTGTTGGTATGTGAAAACTCCAGAAAATCACCAAATTCCCTAAATTACCCCTGGGATCCACGAGAGCCACTAAAGTTCCAGCCATCACACTCACAACCCAAGTTGTGGGATGGAAAAAAGGACACAAAAGTAGAGTGAAGGGCATGTGTGCAACAGCTCTCTTTTACTCTAGTGTCCTAAATCCTATCATGCAACCTTTTGCTTGCCTTGCATTTGCCAGAATCTGGCCCATGGCCACACCTAAGAAGTCAGAAATATTAGCTTCTTTTCCAGGGTAGTTGGCTGAAAATCAGGAGTCCTCATATTAAAAAACCGAATGGACTTTGAATGGATGACCAACAATCTCCTTCACACTCAGATACTATTTAAACTGTTCTAGTCAATGACCAAAAAAGAAAAGCCTATAAACTCACAAAAACTTGACAAAGATACTACCCTAACACACCATCCCAAAAAGGAAATTTCTAATCTAATTAATAGTCTTGGCTTGGGCTGCTGAAACAATCCAAGTCTTAGCTTGGATTCTTTGTGAAGGTCCTTTCCTAACTTGCAGATGGGGTACCTTCCTGCTATGTCCTCACACGGCAAAGAGAGAGCTAGCTCTCTGGTCTTTTAAGGGACCAGTCCCATCATGCCTGTCATGAAGGCTCTATCTACTAGAATCTCATCTACACCTAATTATCTCCCAAAGACCCCACCTCCAAAGACCATCACATCGAGAGTGAGAGTTTCAACATATGAATTGTGGGAAACACAAACATTTAGTTCAACTGTAACTACTGAAGCAAAAATAGTCCCCCCACTATAGACTTCCAGCACCACAGTGATACATTTATTACAATTAAGCTTACATTGACACCTCATTATCAACGAAAGTCTATAATTTACATTATCATTTATTCTTGGTGTTGTGCATTCTATGGGTTTTGACAAATGTATAGCGCCATGTATCCACCATTATAGTAACACAGAAGTTTCGCTATCCTAAAAATCCTCAGTGCTCTGCCTTTTTATCTGTCCCTGCCACCCAATTTCTAACAACTGCTTATCTTTTGACTGTGTCCATATATGCTGCCTTTTCCAGAGCCTCATATAGTTATGAGGCAGGAAACAGGAGTGAACTCAGGAGGCAGCGACTTTACTCCGGACCTGATTGAAGACTAGCTGAAACAGGGACGCGATTAAAGCACCTCTCCATAAGACACGCCCACCAGAGCCGAGTCAGTTTTTTCGTTGCCATGGCAACAACGGGACGTTACCTACCCCTTTCCTTTGCACTTACTCCAAAGTTAGAACGCTTTTTCTAGAAAGTCCTGCAGTAATCTCCCTTAATGGGCATGTAATTAAAAGTAGGTATATGATTGCAGAACGGCCCCTGAGCTGCTACTCTAGGTACACTACTCGTGGGTTAGCCCTGCTCAGCAAGGAACAGTACCTGTGCTGCGCTGTACACCGCCGCTTCTATAAAAGTTGCTAACACCACACTTGAATTCTTTCCTGAGCTAAGCCCTAGTTTTTGGCTTGCTTGCCCTGCATCAATTGGAATCATACAGTATGTAGTCTTTTCAGGTTGGCTTTTTAGTAACAGACTTTTAAGGATCCTTCCTGTCTTCTCATGGCTTGATCATTTTCTTTCTTTTTCTTTTCTTTTTTTCAGACAGAGGAGCCCTGCTCTGTCGGCCAGGCTGAAGTGCAATGGCGCCGGCTCACTGCAACCTCCTCCTCGCAGGTTCCAGCGATTGTCCTATCTCAGCCTCCGCCATGTAGCTGGGATTACAGGTGCACACCACCATGCCTGGCTAATTGGGGATTTCCCCATGCTGACTTGGCTAGTCTCAAACTCCTGGCCTCAAGCAATCCACCTGCCTCAGTCTCCCAAAGTGAATGCATTTATTTTTAACACTAAATAACATTCCATTATTCAGATGTACCACAGTCATCCACTTATCTACTGAAAGACGTCTTGTTTTCAAGTTTTGGATAAATTATGAATAAAACTGATATAAACATCTGTGTGCAGGTTTTTGTGTGGAGATAACTTTTCAACTTTCTTGGATAAATACTAAGGAGCATGATTGGTGGATCTTATGGTAAAGGTATGGTTACTCTTGTAAGAAACCACCAAACTGTCTTCCAAAGTGATTGCACATTTTGCATTCTCACCAGTAATGAACAAGTTCGTATTGCTCCATATCTTTGCCAACATTTAGTGCTAACAATGTTCTAAATTTTGGTCACTCTACTAGGTATGTAGTTGTATCTACTTGCTATTTTAATTTGCAATTCCCTAATGACATCATGTCAAGCATCTTTGCATGTGAATACTTGCATCTGCGTATCTTTTTTGGTGAACAGACGTTCAGGTCATTGGCCTGCTTTAAATCAGGTTATTTTCTTACTGTTGAGTTTTAAGTATTCTTTGCATATATTAAAAATATTGTCCTTCATCAGATATGTCTTTTGCAAACATTATCTGTCAATGTATGGGTTTTCCGCAACACTTCTTTGTAAATTTGCAAGTCCTTTGAGAAAGAAATGTATGCAAAGTATTAATTTGGCAGTCTCATATCACAAAAGTAAAGCTAAATAAGTTACAATTTTTCAAATTTTGAATTAATTGATCTTTACTATTGTTAGCAAGGTCTTTTTTTTTTTTTTT